AGCATTTCTGAGGGCTGCCGTGGCATAGTGCTGCATCACTTGCTGCAGGGAGATTCTAAAGAAGTATAAGGTCTCAGTCCTATGTGTCCTAAAGCTTTCAATCCACTTACGGCAAGAGGAACCCTCCCAGAGAACAATTTGTTAACAACCCCAAATAGCTTGTGATTGGATGGTGGCTGCCAAATGCTTTGAAAGCTCAGAAGAAGGACAGAAAGCAATAGCCTAGAAGAACCAGGATGTAAACTAGATTCTAAGGGCTTGGGGCAGAGATAGCCATCTCAGCTGAAGCCAGTGAATGGGGACCTCAAGCCAGAAAGGAGGCTTACCTGTTCCTGGAGATTGAGATGACCATTGGGGTAGGAAAGCACCAGAGACTCTGGGGCCAGGCATCAGAACTGAGCCTGACAGGCAGGAATTGCAGAACAAGCCCTGTTACAAGGAAACTGGAGCTCAAAGTAGGAGAACAGGGGGTAGGCAAACCCTTCAAGGCTGTTTGAGTCCTTGGCCAAGTGAGGTATAGACCAGGGCCTTATGAAAACATAGAGAATGTAAGAGAGAACAGTTAGGTGTCCTGCAGAATGCAGGTCACTTCAATCCAAACCCAAGTATTTGTTAAGAAAAGCCTTGTCATCAAGAAACACTTGTTTGATGCCAAGGACCACGTGTTGACCATGGTAAGACACAGGAGCCTGTTATTAAAGCAATGGCAGTGAATACCTGGAAGAGGAAGCCACCATCCTCAGGAGCCAGCAGGGATCACTAAGAACAAGCCATGCCAGCTACAACTCCCTTCTCTCTTGACAGTTTTTCTGTCATAGATGAGTGATATACTGTAGACGCAATGTTGTCAGATCTTATTCAGCCAGGCATCTAATGCCTTCCCATAAATCTGCCAGAGCAGAAGATAGACAACTGTGGTCTGGATGGCATATAGTTAGATTAAATATGTACTTGGGTAAAGAGGATAAAAGAGGCTCAGTGATGATGCTGAATTTTTGAATTTAGGTGACTATGGTAAAGGAAGACTGGAGGGGAAGATGCCATGTTTAGATATGTTGTGTTTTAGGTGAAGTGATACTTTCTGTTCAATTACGAAGTCAAAACACAGTGAAATTTAGCCACCAGCTTAAGCTCCTGTGACACAATTTATATAGATATTCTCCAGGCTTCAAACAACAGATTGCTGAATGTTCTGCACCTGCTGCAACATGATCCTGCCTGCCTCAACTGAGTTGGTGGAACAACTAACCATGCCACTTGGGCCAATGGTATCACTGTGCTGGTTAACGCTGGGCACTGCCTAAGATGGCACTCCCCACAACGTGTGCTTTCCAGAATGGAGTCACACATATCTGAGGAATGCTGGGTTGAACCATGTGGGGCAGGTCTCATTCCTGCAGAACCTTCAGTGCACTGGTGTACATTGTGACCTCCAGAAGTGTTTCCTGAGCTTGTCTAACCAGAGAACTGATTTCCAAGAATCATCTCAGGTGATGACTGTTTCATGAACCGCTCTTTGGGGGAAGCAGTCCTCAATTCACATCTCCCTGCCACCTCCTCAGATGCCTTAGGATACTCCCCATTTTCCCTCCTCCTTCTTTCTTTTTCCCACTTGCCACTTAGCATCAGAAATGTTTTGTTTTTCAAACATACATATGTTTTTTCCCTGTAGTCTTGTCAGTATCATCTTTTTCCCCCTCATACATGTTGTTGTTATTTATTTATTTTTTTTTTTCCTTTTTGTCTTTTTTCGTGACCGGCAACGGATCGCAACCCTCAGTGTTGCCCCCGTACTGGACCGGGACCAGCTACGGGATCGCAACCCTCGGTGTTGCTCCTGCACCTCGCTCAACCAGTGAGCGGGAACCGGTCTGTATGTGGGATCCGAACCCACCTGCACCTCACTCAACCAGTGAGCGGGAACCGGTCTGTATGTGGGATCCGAACCCTCGGTGGGAGCGCCGCCGCGCTTCCCAAGCGGCGCACTGTAGCGGTGCGCCACCGGGCCGGCCCATTATTGTTGTTTTGACTCTTCATCTTTTCCTTCTCTTCCAAGGGTTAACTTTCCATCTGAGGAGAATCTTTTTCTCTTTTTCTCTATTGTCCCCAGCTAATCTTATATCTTCCGCTCCAACTCCACCCTAATGATCTTTTCGGGAAAATATGGTCAGAGTTCAGATAACCAAGTCAGGAAAAACTTTTCAGTTTTTCTACCTCCCTTTCCAGTAAAGAATATTATCTAATATGTAGTAAAGCGGTAATAGGAAACCTAGACCTTGAAATGAAAGGCGGAAGGAGAAACATTTGGAGCATGCCCTATCTCCAAATTAGGAACTTCCTGTGTTCACTGTTGTATAGTTACTTTCTAGAAGAAGAAGAAAGGGCTCTGGTCTTTGTGCATTCCTTGTTGATCAAATAAATGCCTCATTAGAGCCTCTCAGCTTCTCCCTGCTGTCATTTTGACTCTTCATGTAGTCCCCCTGTCCCGCCCCCCATTTAAGATTAGAGAGAAGAATGCTTAAAATAGGAGGGGCCTCTGAAACACCTAGTCCAGGGGTTCCCGAACAGATTTTTCAGTACAAAACTTCTTTCTGCACCATTGAAATGCTACGCACCCTCCATTCACAGCAGGTCATCATGGTGCAACTTTACTTAAGTGGGGGTCATGTCCCCATCTCCACCTCCTTAGCTTCCCCTTCAGTCTTTGCTAGGATTTCCTCAGACCCCTGAGGCCAGACAGTGTGAAAACTTCTGCTCTGTGTCATGTGTGAGGAAATCGAGACTCAGAGAAAGTGACTGGTAGAAAGTCAAATAACAGTAGGGCTGCAGCTCAAACCTTGGCCCCTGACTCCTTGTTTAGTGCCCTCTCACTGCATCGCAGTAATCTCCTCGAGGCTATTTAGGTCTCCTCCTCAACCCCCACCCAAGTGTCTCTTAAAGCTTGGAATCCAGAGCTGGGAGTGGGCTCTGTGCTCAGACTGCCTGAATTCAGTCCTGGCTCCATCTCTTCCCAGTCAGTGACCTTAGGCGGGCTATTTAAGCTCTTCAGACCTCAGTTTCCTCCTTGATGGGAGGGGAAGGGTTTAGTATCTACTTCACAGGCTGTGAAGCCCCTGGCACGTGGTAAACTTACACGGTAAATATTAGCTGTTACTCTCATGGTTTGTCTTGGCCCTCGCCCCCCATTCTTCCTGCCTGTTTCCTCTGCCTGGTACTATGGGGTAAACTCTTTACTGCTCTCCCTGCCTCCGGCTTCACCCCCACTTAGTACCAGCATCTGGACCCTTCCTCATTTTACTTGTGTACTTCATGG